ATTTAAATGCCCATATTTCTTATCTATGCCTTGGCACATGGCTTGGTACCTTTTCTCAGAATGGTATACCCTTCTTGCTTCTCTTTGTATCTCTTTGCAACTGCCATGACTCCACCCTCCTTCTTCCCGATCCTTAGTTTGGTTGTCCTGCCTATACTTCCTGCCTGGCTACTGGACAATCAGCTTTTTATTAACAATGAGAGGAACACATTTTCACAGTGTAAAGGATCATTTCACAGCATTTCTCTCTTTTTGTCTATTAAAAAGGAAGGTTTTAACATTAACATAGCAAAACTGTATATAAAAAATTAGTTATCAGCCGGGCGGTGGTGGCACACGCCTTTAATCCCAGCACTCGGGAGGCAGAGCCAGGCGGATCTCTGTGAGTTCGAGGCCAGCCTGGGCTACCAAGTGAATCCCAGGAAAGGCGAAAAGCTACACAGAGAAACCCTGTCTTGAAAAAAAAAATTAGTTATCAAGTAAGAATTACAGTTACAATATCCAGTCCATTCATTTTTGGCAAAATTAGAGAAAATACTTTATTATCTATGTTATCTTTGGTGAGTCTAAAGTTTTACATCTAATTGGATGTATGTGGCCTTGGATGTTGGGTACCATTTGTCCTAGTTAGTAATAAGCCTGAGCTATTTGTCAAACATTTATACTTAATATTAAGCCTCTGAGTGGTTACTTGGGAGAGGCTTTCAGGACAGAAACTTTTGCCTACCATACCCTTCCTTGGACAAAATGTGGAACTTAGGCATTCTGAAGTTGATTCTTTGTCATTTCCCTCCATAAAATTATTTGGGAACAGGGTTAAAGGAAAGGGCTTCTCAAGGAGGAAAAGAAAGCTTTTTAATTGTAAACTTTAAATGTCCTTTTTGTATAAACAAACACAGCAAATTTTGTGAGAAGGCCTCATATTTTCACTTGCCCAGGACATGCAGGATTGTTTTTCATCAAGAAGAAAGCTCAGAAAGATTAGAATTAGCAGATTTAATAAAGGCTTCCTAGTGAAGTTTGAATTTGCAATTCTACTGTATTGTTTAGCGTTAGTTGTCTGAAATATTTGTTGATAGTACACATGTGTTTTAATTATTTCTTATCTAAAATTCTTATTTAACTATGTATCCCCTTATGTTTCTTTTTCTAAATATGGCAACTCTGTTATTAACTACTAGAGCCTGCTTCCTCTGCAATTTTAGGAAAGTCTGTGGTTGTAGGAGTTGTTTACTGCAGTGAAAGAGTCAAGAAAGAAGAACACCAGGATACTGTAGAAAGGATACCAAAGCATCTGCTGGGATGTGTTCAAAATGCAGTTCTACTTTATATGGCAAAATAATGCCATGTGTTGTCAATGTGAGATTTTAATTTCAGCTGTGATAAATGTCCCTTTGTCACTGCAGTGGAGGAAACACAGAAGCAAACACTGGCATCCACTTTTGGATGTGGGTAAAGAAAAAACATCAACTGGGTTTTCAGATTTAATGGACGGAATTAATAAAGTAGCTATTCAGGTCCTTTTACATAGGATTGAAAATGACTAAAGTTTAATATATGAATGCAATAAATATAAACTTAAATAATTAAAAAAACAACTGCTATCATGTCAAAACATAGAAATTGCTAAGTACAGTGTCTGACAAACAAATACCAAATAAGTATCAATGATTATTCTTTTTTTCCTCTTGTTTATCATAAATTTAAATGTAGGATTAAAGTCAACAATGTACTTTAATGAAAAATAAAGAGGCATGAGCTTGGATAAATACAAGAAATGATCCATCAAATATCATGAATTTTGAATATTTTTTTTTAATTTTGAATAAATGTAGCCAGACAAATAAAAATGTGCTATGCATTCTTGGCATATTCAGTACCAGGAGTGAGCTATTTTTTCTTTTAACAAGAAAGCTTTGCATAGCATAGAAATCCTCAGCAATCATCATAAAGCAAGTGAGAAATAACAGTTGTTTGAATAAAAACGAGACAAGCAGTTAAAGTAAATGAACTGAAATCAATTACAGTATGAAAAGAAGAAATATCAATAACAGACATATTTTGCTTTACTTTCATAAGATATGCCAGGAATCTTTTCATGCTTGTACGTGAAATTTTTGTGGGGGAAAAAAAAAAACAAACAGTATCCCAAAATGGGGATTGTGATTTTCATTTTATAATAGCATGAACAAGGATTCTTTTTTATGCTGAATTTCTTAACAGTGTAGGAACAGAAGTATAAAGAAATACAGTATAAGAAATAATCTCAGACCCAAAAAGGAGAATATTCAGTTGTAGGGGTGAATTAGGAGGAGTGGAAGGATTTGGGAGTTTTTTCTTATAATAAAAACACAAAGAATCACTTGCATTTTCTTATGAATTATGAATAAAAATAAATAAAATTAACCTTCAATATGTAACTTCTTATTTACTTGTCCAATGTCAGAGCTCAGTATTAACAGGTAAATTAAGATGCTGTCATATTGACTTGATGTTTCATAGAACCAAATTCCTCATGGATTTATTTGATGGAGTGACAGCCAGTAACATCGAATATGGGAAGGAGAGAGGGAGAGAAGAAGAGAAGGAAGGAGAGAGGGAAAATTCTGCTTCAATAAGGCATAAACATTATGATGATACAATTTTATAAAAAGTGAATTAAATAAGTATTCTAAAGTAAAATATTTTCCCTTTTCCAAATCTTTAAATGTTAGCTATGCATTTTACAGCCCATGTTTTCCATGAAAACTTGAATACTTCGTGTTTCTTCCATTTACAGTCAACAATTTTCTAGAGTTCTTTGAAATCTCTAGCACAGATGGTTTTCTCTACATAAAATCACAGACAGAATGCTTTCAGATCCTTGAACTTCCAAGAGCATGTAACATCTGTCAAATGCGATGGGGCCTCATACTTCTCCCAGGGAATTTCAAACAAATCCAGGTATCTTGTGAAATTTCCCCCACCCATGTAGGCATAATGACTGGGCTTGTCATTGTGCAGGTCTTGTTTAGGCAACTATATTGTTGAGGTTTTGCTTGTGAAGTTTCCCTGTCCTATCTAGCAGACACTATCTCACAGAAGACATCCACATCTTCAGGCTCTCATCAGTCCTTCTGTCCTCTCTTCCACGGTGTTCCTGAGCCTTAGGTGTAGAGGTTGCATTGCAAATGTGTCAGTTGAGCTGGGCACCCCAGAGTCACTTACACTCTATGTTGACCACTTGTTCATAATTGTATAGGACTCCAACTATTATAAGAATAAAGCTCCTTTGAGAATGAGTGACAGCTATACTTATCTGTGGGTATAAATAGATGTATTTACAAAAGTTATGTTACATTGGTTTAGGAAAACAGCAGCCCTAAACAAACGTTCATATGAGCAACACTAAATGGACTCAGTAGGTCTTTACACACATACATTAAGGAAGTCACAAATTTGAGAAGGACTTGGGGGCATGGGATGAGTGGGAGAGGAGGGAATGATATAAATCCAGGAGTGTGGTCAAGATGTGAGTCTTACTGACTCAGACTTTCTTTGGGTACATCTCTGGATTTTCTTTATAAACATTTTAGTCTGTGGTGGTAGATAGTTCAACCTTGGTTAAATGCCTGTGTGCTAGACACAGAGTCTCACCTTGTAAACAAAATGAATTACAACGGAAGACAGTAAGACATCTTGCTATATTTCTAACTCAACTATATCTAATGATTCAATTCCTGGTAACATTCACATATGGGTAGCAGCTAGGAAAAGATTAATACTATTCACAGTTTCTTTGCATCAGCAAAGTAATGTTCTGGAAATTGACCTTTTCTCAAATCACACTTCTTCTTTTGTTGTCCTTTAATTATATACCTTGTTCGTAGCTATTTGACTTTCAAATTTTGCATGGTACAGAAAAAAATAATTATAAATTTGCGTGCTTAGGTTCGGTTTTTGTTTCCTTAATTCAATATTTCAAAATCTATTTCCATAAGTACCAGTTATAAAATTTAGTGGCTAAGAAACAATGCTGTTTTTATTTACATATTAACCTGTATGAGAACACTACTTCTCCTCTTTCATGAGATCATTGAAGCAAAACTGATGTAACATGAACTCTCTAGTATAGGCTAAAGTATATAATTCATTTAATTTTCCTATCTTTATACAGTTAGAAAACCATTACCACAATTAATATGTCAACTTCTCTACTTCTCATGTTCTTCCATGTCCCTATATAATCCTCCTATCCATTTCTGCTCTTAGCTATCCATATTTCCTTTCAACATTAAATTTGTGTGTGTGTGCAGATATAGTCTTTATCTAATACCTTTATGTGTTCTTAAATACCATTTACAAGATAGTTTTTTATAATTAAATTCTGCTAACAAGTCAATTTTCTATATTGATTTCCCTAAAAAATGGTTATCTCCTTTCCATTTACAAACATTATTTTCCCCAAATATACACGCTTTTGCATTTGGAAGGCAGAGACAGGCAGATCTCTGAATTGAGGCCAGCCTGGTCTACAGAATGAGTTCTAGGACAGCCAGGACTACACAGAAAAACCTATTTTGAAAAAAGCAAACAAACAAACAAAAAATGGATTAACTATATTGTACTTTCAGAGCACTGAAAATGCTGAGTCTTTTTATTGTGGCTTCTAACATGGAGTTGTCTACACATCCTATTTTTATTCCTATGTAAGGTATTTTCTTTATCTGTGACTTTTAAATAATGAATATGAAGTGCCTGGTCTTGGGATATGTATATGTATTTTGTTTGCTTTTTAACCCTCCTTGTTGGTCCTTAAACTTTTCACATGTGCAGTTTGATGAAGTTCTTAACTTCCAAAATTCTCAGCCATTATCTCTTTAAACATTTCATCTGCCCTATTACTTTTCCTTTCTTTTATGGAACAATTTGATGCTAAACCATTAGATATTGTATGCCAACTTAGTAGGCTCTATTTTAATTTTTTTATTTTGCCATTTTCCCTTTTGTGCTTCATCTAGGTAAATCTTTCTGTTCATGAATCTACAGTTTCCAGAGTCTTCCCAGCATTTCTGTAAGTCTGTTGTGCCAAGTCTGTCAGAGTGAGTCTGCATTACTGTTTTGATAGTCCTTATTTCTGGGATTTCTTTCTTGTATTTTCTTACAGTTTTGATTACATAATTTAATTTAATTTAATTCATCATGTGTTGCTGCATTTTATCAGCTTCTTCTTCTTCTTGAGAATTGAACACATTGATAATGGTTATTTTAAAATGCTTATCTGAAATTTTAGTATCATAATCAACTTGGTTCTGTTGATTACTTCTTCTTTTGACCATGTACTGTTCTCTGCTTTAATTTTTAGATGTTCTTATGTTTTAGCTAATTTCTTGGCATAGTTTGTAAGGCATTAGAACTGGAATAATTAGTATTTATGCCTGTTATTCACATGCTTCTTTTGTTAGACATTCTGAGTGGAGAGTTGAGTTAATTTCGGAAAATGTAAGGCTATTTTTGAAATTTGTTGTCATTCCTTTGATGTTATCATGTCATTAATGTGAGCATTAATGTGAATGGGAGTATTATTTTAGACACATTCAAAATAGTTTTGCTATCTTTTTTCATCCATCATATTTTAATTCAACTTCAGATTTTATCTGTTACCTATAATTTATATGAACTAACTTTTCTTTCTGTAGTTAATTTATAATCTAATAGTTCATTATTGGAGAATGTACTTTGTATGATTCCCATCATTTGAAATTAATTAAGCCTTACTTTATGGCCCAGATTATATTTTGTCTTAACCAATGTTCCAGAAAGATTGTGAGTGTGATATTCTCTCAGATATGTTTGATTGATAATGTTTTCAATGTCTTTGTTTCTGTCTTATATCAGCTATTAAAATAAAGTATTATCCTTAAATATGGTTATAAATATACCTATTTCTCCTTTTAGATCTATTTGCAAAATGTATTTGAAGGTTTTCTATTAGTGCATAGAATTAGTGCATACATTTGAGTTGATAAGTCTTTCTAGTGAATTGATTAGCATAGGATATATTTTCATGATCTTATTTTTCATGAAATGCCACATTTATATTTGTTTAAAAATTGGTTTATATGTATATATAACTATAAAAACTAAGAAATACTGAAGTATGCTATGCTAGCTGATGACTAAAGCATAACATATCCAGATCTAACCTTTCTGAAGAAACTATAGTGGGAGATGGGTGAAATCCAAGCAACCTCTCCGGTGTAGTTAGTCACATTGTACCAACATTCATTTCTTGTTCTTGTTAAAGACATCATGGTGAATATAATTTGCAACATTAGAGGAGTCTTAATGAATGAGACATAGGAACACTATATTATCTTTTATAACATTTCTAAAAGCCCAAATTGATTTTTAAATTTCTGAAAAATTACCAAAACAAATCTCTGCAACACCTGCCTGCATGGCAGACTGCACAGCCTCCTCCAGTCTTTTCTTCTTGCTCCAGACAGCATGGCTTCTCCTCTCCCACTGTGAGCTTGGGGCGCTCCTTCATTCAGGGCTTGATGCATAGAACCTTTCCCTGCAGCTTCAATTAAATCAATTACCACCACTTCTGAAGCGGTGGCTCTCTTATCAACCTCAGGTCTCAGATCAAGATCATGTGGACACCCCTCAGTAGAACAAATTCGTGATGCACAGACTCTTACATACCATGTTTTAAGCTTCACAGCCCCAGTTATAATTGCAGTTATGAATTACTTTCTATGGCTATTTCTTAGCGTTTGTCTCCTCTTCTGGAATTAGGTGGTTTATTTCTATCTATGCTTTCATTTACCCAGTGCTTACCACTATGGCTCTGGCATGATATAGTTCCTCAAAACATACATGTTTAGTAAATGATACTGTTTCTTATGTACGGAGGCCAAAATTCCACTTGAGATTACCTTAGTGAGCCGAGGGGTTTATAAGATCTGATTTCAGGAGTATGGGATAACTTATGTGCTGAGATAAAAAAAAAATGTTTGGGTCTTAAATTCTTCTACTTCTTGTCTACAGCAGGAGAAGAATGTATCTGTTTGTGCCAATGGTGTGGGCAGACAGAACCACTCTTGGTGCAAACATTGGGTGGGAAAATGCAATTCAATAATCTGTTCCTCTGTGTCCCTTGCTGTTCAGCTCTTCGCCCCAGGAAAAGTTCAGGCCACTCAGTCATGCAATGTGAAGTGTTGTTCATCAGTACCTTTCCCTGGATTGGCAAAGGATGAGAAAATGCAGAGGTTTCTAAAGTATTTCCCTTTCATTTCTTTCTTATGTCTCCCCCTTCCCAGTGGTAATAGAAAGGAGTTAAAACTCACTTTGTGATTTGCTGTTTATCAGACAAATGATTCTTTGAGGCAATTCCCTATGGGACTTGCTTTACATTTTGGGTACATTCCAGTTTAGTAACAGCAGATGGAACATCATAGTTAAAATTTTAAAAAGAAAGACAATGAAATGAGATAATGAGACTGCAGTTTCATAGATGAAAAAAAAAAGCTTTAAAAATTACTATTTGCATCTAAAACCCATACCCAGGGAATTGAGAGATGAGGGGATGTAAGAAGAAGGGATGTTAACTCTGCTGGTTTATGTTATAAAGTCCCTTTTTGTTATGAGATGCAGTAATGGAGAATAGGTTCCTTCCATGTTTTCTGAATTTCTTCCAACCTGTAATATTCCCTCTCCTTTTTTGAGGGGTGGAGAGTAGGGAATAAATAAATGTAAGCCCAGTTCCTCTTGTAGTCAGTACAGGTGTTTAGGATGCCTATGTTGCTCATTAGTTACCTCACTTAAAGTTCAATGCTAAACATTAGTTGCCCTAGATATAAAACAAAATTTACCTCTTTAAGTGTATGATTTACTCTTAAATTTCATGTGACAAGTCTCTTCTGATTTCATTTGATGACACATCACATAAATGACAACCTAAGCTTCTTTCTTGTATATATTTTGTGGACTCACCCATATAAGGCTTGGGAAGAGTGACTGCTACTAATAAGCCTATCATCCCTCCATGCGTTTACTGTAGATCTCCCTCAGAGAAGGAAAAAAGTTCTTCTCCACTTCAGGTGAAATTTTATAGGTGCTGACAAATGTTCATTTCCCTCTAAATTGTTCCAACATTCCTTGTATGATTTTGTTTGAAGTTCCAAGTCTCTGCATGGATCTATTTTGGTTGCTCATTGGCTGTTTCAAGGGACTACTCTCTTTCAAATGTAAGTACCAGAAGGACTGAAGAACTGGACTTCTCAGTTGTTGGTTAGTGAATGTGTCACTGTAGAAACCTTTGAAGAGGTAATTGATCACAGGGTTGGTACAATTTAATAGCCCATAAACTTAGATAAAGGATATGGGGGTATAGATTAGAATGGTGTTCTGAGCCACATGGTACTAGTCAGGAAAAGTGGCCCAGCAAAGTGGAGACTACTGAGAATTCCTATAAAAACTGAAATATGGAATGTGTAGCGATGGAAGGAATAGGCATGCCATTGAAAGGAGAATGTAAAACAGAAAGATGTGGGCATAGTAGGTGCTTATATTTGCTTAGTTAAAAATCACAGGAGTCATAAACACACCACCAGTTAATAAAGGCAATGCCAAGATAATTTATAAATAGGTATGTCTTTATTTATTTATTTTTATCTGCAAAGGAAGTGTAGAAGCCTTATCATTGTTGATACACTAAATATCTGGCACTATCTCGCTCTTTGGTTTTACTGAATGTTTGTTCTATATTGGCTAAATTTATGCTTTCAATTTATTTGATAAAAGGGAAAATATTTATAAAAAGGTCAAAAGCAGTCTGTCTTCTCAGGATGTTTACATCACGGATTCATTTTATGGTACCTTCTGTTTGTGGCCATCATCATGGTCTTACAAGGTATTATAATTCTGTATAATGTTATCTTCTCTAAAAATGTGTTCTTACTCTGCAGAGAAGAAATGATTTTATCCAGAACTCATTGGAACAATTTTTGAAGTGACTCAGATGTATCACCACATCAACAGCAAAATAAATAAACATGACATTTAGAAAAACAAAAACACTGCTTGCTCATGCCTAAATTGGAAAAACATAGACGATGGGTATTAATCAGTAAAGCATAATTATTTCAAGCATATCAATTAAGGCTAATAAGTCAAGAAACACTATGGTATATTTATAGCTTCATTTTGATAAACATACTTCAGTAGTTCAGATATGCAAGTGCATAGTATATAGAAATGAGCATGCTTATTCTCTCATTTTCCAGTTCTATAAAAATATAAAAAAGGTAAACTTTTCTTTTATATTTATGGGAGAAAAGGAAACATCCAGCTAAAAACTTTAAAGCTACAGATAATGTGAGAAGCATTTTATGGTACTTATATGCAGTGGTTGTTGGAAAAATGTTCCACAGTTTACACTTGGGGAGGAGAGAGAAACTCTGACTTGCAATATCTACTAATTTCTGTTTGCAAACACCCTCATCATAGTCAAGTTCAAGTTACAATATCATGGAAACTGGCTCCCTCAATCCTGGAAAACTCAGCAGTTTTCCCTGATGACTGTTATAAGATGGCCCCAACTTCTACATTCTGCAAAAGGTCATATGTGAAAGCAAGCCATATGTTATCAACAGAAGTTCAGGAAAATAAACCCAGTTTCATTCCCTTTCTACTTACTCACAAATTAGCAAGCCTTGTATAGATGAAAAGGCACGTGCCTGAGGCCAGGTGGCATGGCCCCATCTTTCTTGTTCCAACTATGCTTTCTTTATTGTTAAACCCTAAGCCCATCTGTGTTGAAGAGGGTTAAAGAAGAACCAGAAATGCTGTAGAAAGAAGTTTGTCCTTTCTAACATGTAGATATTAAAATACTAAGCATGGGTTAGTTATAAGTTGCCTTCAAGCTTTGAAAGGTAGAAACATATGAAACACACACACACACACACACACACACACACACACACACACACACACACACACACACTCCTTTGGGCTATAGGAGAGAAGTTTGGATTATTCGGGAGAATTTTCTTAGAGTCAAATTAT